CTAAACTGCCTACAAGTTGAACAAAACAGAGCTAAATAAGATGTTCATTATGTTAACCAGGTGAACAACATTCTTGTTACTCTTTTCAAAATCATCTATTCATGAAAAAGTTAAACATCCCAGTTCACTAGTTAAAGAAATAAACTTCTGTAAAAAAATATTAACCATTACACTACACAATAAACAAAATTATGTTTTGTCAGTTGTATTTCTTTTCCGTCTCATGATACACTCACTGCATGGATAGTTTTGTGTTAATTATGATGAATACTAAAATTAACGTAACGTAAATCAACTTATTCAAATTAAGCACATTGAATGTTTGTACTTGATTCAAATTCTTTAAAATATTTCTATTCACTGTAGAATTATAATAAACTCAATAACTTCAAACTATGTTTTCTATGAAATGAAAACTAACAAGAAAATTGGAAATCATATGGTTTTTTCACAATACAGACATATAGAACTATTGATGGATGACTTTTAATTAACTGTGTAAATAATCAAAAGCAAAAGAATTTTCAGTATAAGGGTTGTGAAGATTATTAAGTTTTTTATTGAGATCATGAACCAATTGATGTTAGACCACCTTTGGAAACCTCAAAGCACTGGACGGCCGTTTCGTCCTATTGTGGGACTCTGCAAAAACCTAATAATCTCTACAACCCCAATACTGATAATTAACACGTGCTCACTAGTGATTAGCTTCGTGAGAGAATTCTCGGAGTTATAGTGAGAAGCCGTGACCAGTGGAGCTAATCCGTGTCGGGTAGAAACAGGTGTCTACCTCAGTACAATGGAAAATGGTCGCGCAATTTCGTGGATTCGTTGGTGTTAGACACCAACATCATTGGATGCCGGTTCAATGGTCCAGTAGGTTAGGCGTTGGCGCGCGAGACTGAAGGCCCTGGGTTTAAGTCTTGCGCTAGGCGGGATCGTGGATGCGCACTGCTGAGGAGTCCCACAATAGGACGAAAAGGCCTTCCAGTGCTTCCAGGTTTCCAACGGTGGTCTAACATCAATCGGTTCATGATCTCAATCAAAAACAAAAGAATTTATTGAGGTTTCTAGTGTTTCTAGTATTGCGTGTATAACTGATGATTTTGTCTTGAAACGAAATATTTATATCTTATCCTACCTTCTTACATAAATCGAAATTTCATGTATCTTACATTATATTCAACTAACAAGATTGTTTAATAGAGTATACTCAGTTTCTGTTTTTCTTCATCTTAATTATAATCGTCTGAAATCAATTTAAAACATCCAATATCAAGTATTATCATAAAATAGTGAGAGAGAGAGAGCTACAAATAAAATCTGAGGCAGAAATCAACCACTCAATTAATAGTAACAGTATATTCTAGAACAATGTTTAAGTGATTAAATTACATTAATTTAATTTAGTTGTTCAAGTGATTGTTGTACTGTGAGTCCTGAAGTATTCAGTTTCACATTGGTGTTCGTAGAAATACATAATTTAAAACTGAACTGAAATGCTATCATCGCTTCAATCCATACTTAGATAGTTAATTCAAGTAATTAATTCATACGTGACAAGTAAAACTATAGATTTTTATATTATTGTTATGCTATCTAATCGAACACTAATATTCTGATTTTGCCTAAATTATTACATGATTTAAATGACCTAAATATTTTAGTTAAATAAATTGTAAAAATTAGTTTCATGTGCAGCACAACCCGACATAAATTAGTAAATCATTCCCAGTAGAGCACATTTCTAAAAAGTGCTAAACCAAATTGAAGTGACTGTTTAGTGTTCCTCGGCTTCGATAGTTTAGCAGTTAATGTCAATCAGTGTCGAAAATTGTCCTTAATTTGTTATACATATTTTTTTAAAACCTAGAATGTATATTTTGTAAATTACTGAGTTATTCATCATTTGTAAATTTATTCAGTTTAAGCAAAATGAGATTTCAACAATCTTAAAACAACAAATTATATCTATAAAAATATAAAAGTAAAAAGAGGCAGAATATATTCGAATGCCATCCAAAGTTGTAGGTTGCCAATTACTTATCAGAAACTTTCATTTTCTTTCCCTTTCAATTAGTCTTGAACCATCTTAGTTGAATTGTTAAAGTAATATGATACTAGTTGGTTGTGATACATAAGCAACTGTTAGCTAGATAATCAGGTTTTTAATTCACTACTGATTCTGTTAAACTATCCGAGTCTCACTAATAAAAAAACACTTCATAAATGTTTGAGAACATGATCTTATTTCGCTCATGATTATTATGTTTACATATTATGCAGTTACTAACTGTTGTTAACGTTACGGAGAATGTAAGGTAGGTGTTTGATAAGAGCGAACTAGTCAAAATGGTTTTATAGGCGCGAATGAGCATTAGGAATACAAAAATGTTGTATACTCTAACTTGTATAGTCGAAGAAGTGTTGTGGGATCAAAGTGAGTAGCTCTTTTGAAAATATATGTTAGCAGTTTTCATCATGAGAAGTAAAATGTTATTAGCCAGAAAATGAACATTTATATGCACGGGATTTCTGGTTATTTCTAGTAGTTTTCTAACATCGATGATTACTGATAAAGACACGATGTTTCTAAACTGTATACATTTAATTTGTATAAGTGATATTAGTGACAATCTCCACATTATTTTCGCTTTCGACTCCATCATGTGTTCTTGTACTAAAATAAAAACTGGTTAAAAGTTCATTATACAAGGTAGATAGTAAAATGTTTAACTGGGTAGTTATGTGAAAACCTCCTCTCAAATAATAGAAATTTAACTCAAATACCCTATCGTTTTCTTCATTTTTCTTTTTTTTTTGATAACTATTATGATACATAAATATATGTTTTAGTCAAAAAATGAAACAAATTAAGGTCTTGGTCACAAATCTAATAAAGTTTTCATCTAAAATAGGAAGTAATCTGAGTAAAATTTGGTTAATGAATAAATAGTGAATTGAATACCTTTTTTCTAAACTTCTTGTTTATTCATATCAAAGAAGAAAACAGACAATTTAGAAATAGGGTAGATCAAAGCAAAAAAAATAGGAGTTGAAATGTTGTGTTCTCATCGAAATTCTTATCATAACAACTTGATAGGAATACTGTATGTTCCAGGTTTCAATTTTAACTAGTTGCCAATCAATAAAATATGTGACTGTTAAAAACAATAGTAGTTTTATATTGTATTACTTTGAAATAATTTTGAATAATAACGAAATTACAAGCGTCGGTGGTAAAAAAATACTTTTTCAAATTATATATTCTCTTCACTACCTGGAAATAATTATTTTCTAACAATAACAGGGAACAATCACCATGAAAATTATTTAAAAATCGATACAATCAATTGAATATTGTCATCTAGAGATTCAGTTTGATATAAAACAACAAAAAAGTACTATTGACGAATATGAACATTCAGAGAGATATATGAAACCGTATACTCAGTATTACAAGCACAGACATTACATGTATATATATACATTGAAATCTAAGGACTGAACATTTCATATTAGTAAACCAAAGAACATATCAAATGTACAGGTATCGAATAGATCTTACATGTAAACTTGATCTAAACTGACCAAAATAAGTACTAGGTGTGATAACACACTTTATGACTCGTATTTGAAGATTTGAATGAACATTTAACCTGGTAGAATTAACTCCAGTTATGTATTATTAGTCATATCAAATAATTAATCTTATTTAAACGTCCGTGAGAAGCGTAAACTACTAAAAAAATAAAAGGTCTTATGGTGTAGCTGCGTCCTATAATTCCGTCGTTTATATTATCAGATCTTGTGTCAAAACCGAAATTTGAAAAACGCCACTCACTAAAACCAAAATCACTGACTGGAGGTAAATTTAGTGTCTCTTATCCCACATAAAGAACTTGCACATACAGTAAATGTATTTGACGTCTTAGAATCCCTGAAATCATTATTCCGATTTTACTTCGTAAATAACTTGAAAATGTGTACGAAAATCAGTTAATTAGCACAAGACATTCGTTCAGTTGCTCTAATTACTGAATGGAAAACTGTTATCATTAAGTTGGACCCATACAATTTATTACATTACCTGCACTTCTTATAATTCGCCTTATGATACCTCTAATTATCAAAACACATTCTTTTTTATCTTAAATTTCCAGTTTGATACAAAAAATTAAGGATGCAAGCCTGGAATGTCTTTGAGACTGTGGTACAAGTCTAGGTAAAGCATGATTGCTTTATGGTTGCATTATTTGGAATTTAAATGGCTAATAACATTGAAGATAAACAACGCTTATTTGTAAAGATACCTCAGCAACATAATAGGATTTATCCATGTTACTAATATTTGTAAACTTGAGAAAACTGAATGTAGGTATATCAGAATTGACTCCCAAATATTCTACTTAGTTAAGTTTAAGACTAACCAAATGAACAATTTTTCTTACGTTACATATATTTTCCAAGGTAAAGGGAATCATATGAAACATACAATGATATAAAATTCAGAAGTAAGTACTATGTTTGATTAAGGACTATCGTGTTATTCACTATGAAACCCTACATAAAAATTTTCAAGTTTGTATATATTCGGCAATTAATACTTACATACCTATAAAATATGTAGTGAGGCTCTTTAATTTTGGGAACTATAAAAACCCGCATCTGATATATGTATCAAGTACATTAATTTTTATGATTTCAGAAGTATTGCAAACAAACTTGAATGTTTTATTACAACAAGGTGTGAAACATTATGGTTTAATTAACTTCTCACTCCTTGATCTTTATCCATATTTGAAGTTGTAAATAACTGTTTTAGTCAACGGTTTCACGTCACAGTGTTTTCGAAGCTTCAGTAGAACATCAAATATACATGAAGTAAATCATAAAATAACCCTAATGTTAAGCAGTACATACTGAATGAATAATGACATCATAAATACATAATTTATAGAAATATAAATTGGTTTGCTACCGAAACTGGATACACTTACTTAATTTACAGGATACTACTGAAGAATTGGTTGAATGTAATGCAATTGTTAACATAGTGAATTCATATTGGAAACTTTTGACTAATATAAGAAACAAAACTTTCACTTATCAATGGCCTCGACGTTAAGTCAAATTAAATGAAGTATTTTTGATACGAAATAATTTGAAGATAATGCAAAAATCAGAAAAGATAAAAAGGAAAGGAAAATTTTGAGTTTATCAATGTAACGTCAATGACCAATACACTTGGCCAGTTATTTTGATTGGTGGATTTTTTCCTTGTACTGTTTATCTATCTCACTTTGTTAAAACGTTACACAATATTGGGGAATTTAGCTACTACGGTTTTTGGGAAACCTTAGATCTCTTGTACATTACTTAAATTATTATACAGTATCATGATATTTCAACTAAAATTTAATTAAATGAACCAATAACTGATCGTTTACACGTAATTTGTTGGCATCATATATATATATATATATATATATATATATATATATATATATATATATATATATATATATATATATATATATATATATATAGGCATGTGGTTAGCGACCCCATCTCATAGAAAACTAACTCGTTAAACGACGCTAACCAGAAATAATAATTCCGACTATCCAAACTCTGCCCTGTGAGTTAGAAGGTCTTCATTTAAAAGAGTTATGACGCCTCATGTTGATAGCCGATTCCCTTGGGAAGTCATGAGGCTGATGTCCCTTCTGACAACCAGAGAAACCATTAATTTATGTACATAGAACGCTCGTACAATGTGGGAGACCGGGAGAGTCTTCCAAATTGCTGCAGAAATATATATAACAACCTCTAACAAATTGAAGAAGTTAAAACTTCACAGGTAAACCGTTCTAAGGACTGATTCATAAAAATATTCTTAGATAGCATGTAAATTCACGGGTTAAAAACGCTCAGTATAGAGTAGAGCATATTTCGAGGGTTTAAGTTTATGCAATCTCAATTCATAGCTTACAGAGACTTCATATTGATCACCTTGTCATGCAGGTGAAGAGAGATAATGTTCCGAAAATGGTAAGGTAAGTATATGTTGACATATGTTCAAGATGAGGTAGCATTAACAAATTCATAGATTTACAGTTAAAGGCTTACTTGCTTTGCTAATTTTATGTTCGCTTTTTCAGTTAATTCTATATCTCCGAGAAGTAAATAAGACTTTATATGTGAAGGCTGAACCTGTAAAAGAAAAAGTCACACATATGAGAGAAATAACAAACTTTTGTCACAAGGTACATCAATCATTGCTCTTTAGATATGATCACACAGATAACCAAAATGAACAATGACAAAAGAGGTTTATCAGTTTTTATCTTTCGTTTAATTCTGTTGATGCGGTTTAAGCATTTAACTTTCAGCTGTAGTACGAAGCACTAAACAATTTTTTCAGCCATTTAACAAGCAGAATAACAAAAATTAATTAAAATTAAACTAGTTAGGACTAAATTAAGGTCTAAAATATTTATTCAGTCACTCCAATAATTCACTTTGACTAAATTAATGAAAGAGCAATCTACGTCAACGATAAGCTGAAGTGCGAGATTCCTTGCATCATCTGGTATATATATATATATATGTTGATGTTTGTTGTGCGAATAAATTAATGGTTGAGATAACAATTTACACAAGAAAGGTGAGTACGTCTTATACAGATACACTGTTAATAGTTAAACATTTTGAAGCTATTTCAAGATAGACCGGATAAGTCGAATTACAGATCAAGTACATATATTGGGAACATTTTTTATTTATTTATACACCCTTTATAACTTACAAGTTATCTGAAGCGACAAATTATTTTTTGGAATTCTTTATTATTTCCAAAATGGAGATGAAGATGGGCAGCTTTTGACCCGCCTACAGAAAAGTAACACAAAGGTTTCACGGTATATATGATAACGTTTTAAATGATTAAGCTAAGCTATTGATTGACAGCAAGGTAACTGAGTTCACTGAATTTAAACGAACGGTATATATGGTATCGACGTAAACAGTGAATAAAATGTGTCCATTTATCCTAGTATGACGAATTTTATGAAGCCAATTCAAATAAAAGACATAATTATGATTTATTGGGAAACATGCTTCACTATACCGTTATGTGTATGATATAAATGACTACTCAGTGGTAAAACTAAATTTCTGTTTTTCAAAAGGAAATCGTGTCATTTGCATGTGTATACAACTTTTACGTCCCGTATAATTTTAAGAGCTTCAAAAAGCACGTTACTATCAAAGAAAACACCGCCAGTCAACGTCGAAAATAGTATACAAGGATGACGATCCTTAATCGATGTTTTATTTAGAGTTGGAAAAAATCAAATTGAAATCACAATTAACTATAAAATTAGCTTTCATCAAAGACTGACATTCTCACTTCGGACTAAGAAAAATGTAGATCAATGTTTGACCCTGTAAAAATCATTAGTATATCATTATCTCTAAGCAGAAATACTATCAAACAAACAGATGACCAATTTGTCTCGAATCAAGTGGTTATACTGCTAATTATTTTGATAGTAAATCTATCATTCACATATTTCATAGTGTCAAAAATCGTAGGTGGGTTTGAGATGGTGGAGAAGATTTGTAGCTCAGGTGGATGATTTTGGTGGTGTTTTGTTCTCTGAGCTGGATGGTTTGGTCGTAGGTGGGTTATCATTGCAAATTTATTCAATTTTTTATAGATCTCTAAGTTAAAAATGTAGTCAGAAATTTCTATGAAATAGAAATTGTTTCATTTCTTTGAAGTGTCTATATTTTTTTATCAGCACTGGTCTACTAATATTCTTTTAACAGTTGTAAGGATATAATCACTATGCTTTTATTTACCCTTACTACGTTACGGATCGAAATTGTAGGGTACCAATAAATAACTTTGACTTATGCCCTATTAAGTATACACCGTTGATATAATCAGATCGTATGTTCCTGATCAAGGGATATATTTATAAAAAAAGTTCATTGAGATCTCGTGTAGCTTACAAAATGTCATCTTAAATGAAAATTAAAATAATCATAAAAAGACAAAACTTAATCAAGGATAATTCTCCTTTTCCAAAAATAGACTGATCTAATAGTATTTCCATGACATTTTTTTGAAAAATCAGTACCAAGATGTGGAATACCAAATTCACTTATTTGTAATTCAAAATCGTGATACACAAAATCTGGTTAAGTTTCAATGAAAGTGATTAGTTATTTGTGAAACCGGTTCATAAACGTTTTCTTCATAAGCATAATCTTATTGACTCCGTTTGATTCCCGTCAATGTTTTATGCCAAACGAAACTATTAAATAAATGTGCTTGATATGCACTGGAATTAATTATCAGTCTTATTTGTCATGTACAAGAAAGTGACTAGTTCAATTTGATTCTCAATGTGTTGATTAGTGTGTGCGTTTTTTTAGCGTAATAAAATGGTTCTATTATTAAAGATCTTTGCGACAAAACTGTAACCAAAATTCACTGATGGGAATTTTTTCTCCGTACTGGTAGAGGGCAAGATCACTCGTTTGATCTATTAGTTCACTTGCTCTTACGGACAAAGGTGTGTAAGCTGTAGCCAGTACATGCTTTCAACTACGATATGAGAACATATACTAGTACGGTTCTATAAAGGTCATAAAAATGCGGTTAAGAGTTCTATCCTTAGGTTTCCAAAGGATTCTAACCACTCCATTAATCCACGGGTCTATTAAAAAGTTGCGAATAGAATTTTTCCAAAGTTACCAGGATTTCTTCTTATTCACAAACAAATGAAGCCTGAGATGCATGTACAAAAGTTTTGCATTTTATCATTGTCGCTACAATGGTTTTAAACTTATTATTAATATTATTATCACCATTGTTATTATTATTACTTTAATTTCTTTTATTAAGCATTTGAAAAATTCTCCCTCACTTTATTTATTTGTCATATCCCTGTTGTTTTATTCATAATTATTTCTGAAGTCAATTCATTTCATTTAACTCCTCTAATACCCTTGATTATTGGGATGAAAATATTTCATGTCTTACTTCATTCACATTATAATCCGCTGCTAAATGATTAATTTTTCACATACGTAACTGGTACCATATCTTCTTTTGTCATTGATTACATTAACGACCTAATGTTGTAATCTTTTGATTAAATCATTATACTTATTGATTATTCATATTTCCTCATAAAAAGGTAGAGATTATTTCGCTGGACTTCGTGATTTTCAAGATGTATTCCAATAACGAATGCAACGTAATTTTCACAAATCTGGTTGACTTCTAACTTTCATGTATAGCATCTTCGATTGCTGATGATTTTCAGTATCCATAACCCAACTACACAATGAAGTGCATATGAACAAGAACGAATAATTCGTGTATACGTCTGTATGAAAAAAAGAATGGAATTATGAACTTGGAAATAATTCAATAGTATGTTGCACGAATTTGTAAGAGTAATCATTTCATACTATAAAATACATTCTTTTTTCATTTAGGCTGGCACCAGAAATGGTTTTTGAATATGTTATTGTTAAATAACTGACACTTTAATGTTCAGTGGAACTGTAGTTGATGGTTAGAATTCGTATTCTTCATTGGATAGCTTTAGGTTTAGCGTTTCAAATGGAAATTATAATAGGTGGTTTTGGCAAATAACTTACTGACATCTTTACACACACTACAACCAAGTCTCGTAAACAACCATGTTGTACTGAATTTAACCTAAAACTGAGTACCTTTAAAAGTGATCATTTTAGTGGGCATTACATGAATTTTGGGCCTTCTTGAGGTCGAAACTTATTCAAGCTAACCAAAAGTATCACAGGATTATCGAATAATAAAACTTACAGGCATTATGATATGTTAAAAAACATTGTTGCGAACACTTTCGGACCAATTTTACCCAATCTAGAATTTGTCAGAAAATCAATCCAATTCATGCGTGAATAACAAGTCTGACAATTTCTGTCTGTATAGGAAATTATACATAGACTGACAATAAGTTGATCAAATGAGGATAACGAAAGAAAATGAGATGAGTTACAAAAACTCAATGCGAAAGATCTGTTGGACGACATAAATAAAAGACAATTATTAGGAAACAGAAGCAATTCCATTTTAATTGATTTTAAGTCACGAAAATCATGCTGA